ACAACTCTAAACAATCATAACAATTCTAGCCAAAAAACCATAAACTATGCAATTAGGTTTGTTGAAATCATACCATGTTGTGTTCGGCTTCTTTATGGGAGAGAGGATTGTGGTGTATGCTTCCCTGCCAGGCTGAGTGAGCAAGGCATTGAGAATTCGGTGCTGGTCTTCCGCGAGATTCCCCGGGAATAGAGCTTCTTCTTCTTCTGCAAATACACTGTGACCTTTGGATGGACAATTTTGAGCGTCAGAAGCTTGCTCGTGAGATCGAGAAGGTTGTTGTTGAGAGACAGGCTGCTGTTGACCGCGTGGTGATGGTTGCTCGTGAGATCGAGACTCTGGTCCTTGATGTGGATTGTGCGAGTTCGGGAACAACTGCGTCGGTGGTGGATAATCCCTCACGGATACTGACGGTTGCTGCGTGGGGACAACCGGCGGCGATGGCGAGGGCGTGAAGTCATAACGACTTGGCAGAGGCGACAACGTTCTGTCTTGCGACGATGCCACACCTCCTCTGCCTCGTCCTCTCTTCCTTCCACCACGACCACCCATCCTCTAATAGTTGAAGATTTCTGGGGATTTAGGGTTTGTCGCTAAATGTGGGAATTTCTGGGGAGATTTCAGGGATGGAAGAAGAAAGGAAATTAGGGTTTGTCGAAGGGATTTGGGGATTTTTGCTAAGTGTTTTGATTCTCGATTGTTAAGGGTAGTTATTTGGGCTAATGGGTTTGTTAATTTTTTTTTTTTGGGCCGAAATGTAGTCGCAAAGTAGTCGCCAATTTCCGACTGCCTTAAATTAGTCGTTATATACTGACCAAGTTACGACTGTTTTACTTAGTCGCTAATTAGCGACTAATTGCCGACTGTAATATATGAGACGTAAATTGAAGGCAAATCAGTCGCCAATTAGTCGTAACATTTAGCAACTGACAAATCAGTCGCTAAATGTCGTCGCCAATTAACTGTTTTCTAGTAGTGTTATTCGAAGAAAGGGAAAGTGAATTGATATATGTAGCTGTCGCAGAAGTACAGAAATTATATACTTGATAAAATATGAGGGTTGCCCACGATGCAGAAGACGAAAGGCTCTAAGAAAATATGACGTCATGTTTCGGTTAAGAGGAAGTAACCACCGTAAAGCTGGAGCGGCAGCGTTTTGACTTGTTTGTAGTGCTCTGATGTGGCATGATTTTAGAATGATAGATTCTTGCTGACGTGGACACTCCCAAGAGCCCCAGACAGCTGCTTTTATATAGTATTGAATTGTTATTATATTTTTTTTTTGTCATTTTTTGTCTTTATCTTTTTATTATTTAATGAATATTCTTTTGTGTGTTTTCATTTTCTAGCTCTTATATTTTTTTAAAAAAAAGTTGTTCTTCAGTGTTTGGAAACTTTTAATTTTATTACTTGGTTTTATATTTTTAATTGCTTTGCAAATAAATTATCTTTGTTATTTTAAAAATAATGAGTATAGCACACTGTGAAAAAATACCAAATTAAAATATAATATTAATTTTTTATTTATACATATAGGATATTTAAATTAAATTTGATTTTAATTTTATTATTTTATAATTTAATATTTTTAACATAATAAAAATCAGACTAAATGGTTGATTCATTTATATATATATATATATGTATTAATAAGAGGAATAAATGTTTATTTTGTATTGGCTCTCAAATGATGAGTCGTTAATCCTTGGAAAGTGCCCTTCATCATTTATATATTAGACTAGATAAATACCTGCGCATACGCGCAGGGTTTTTATAATAAAAGACAATATATTTTATATGAATTTATAAATATAAAATACTTTCTATATAATATATTATTTCGTAAATATAACAATTATGTATTTTTATTACAAAATTTATAATACTACGTTGATTTGGAAAAGATCATATCACCTTATAAACATTGATATTTGACTATGTGAAATAAGGAAGAAAGTCACACTAATAGAATATTATTCTCTAATTTTCTCATATCATTTCTAATTTCCTTCATTTCTTTTTTTTTTTGACCTATAACTATATAAATGTTAGAGGTGAAAACCGCACCCCCAGTTTCTCCGGTACAAACCGAAATCGGCACGACATAAGCCCGGTTTACGAAGGGAATGTACTGAGAATATTGGGCTGAGTGAGTTCTTGGGCCGAATATAGCCCAACGAGCCGAAGTCGGTCAGAAACTTCTCAAAGGAACCGAGAAGTTCTCTGAGTTCGGAGGAAAATGGAAAGTTTCCGAGTAGAAATGGAAACTTACGAGAAGAAAGGAAATTGCCATGAGAAAAGGAAAAAGACCGAGAGAAAAGGAAAGTCTTCTCGGTCCCATATCGCAGAGAAGACCCGCGAAGACCGACTTAGAAGATATATATAAAGGAAGAGGAATCGACACCAGAACATACAAAAAATTCCCGAGAGACTTGGAGATTGAGAGCTCAAGACATTCATTAGCTTCTTAATTTCCTAAGTCTTAGTTCGTTTATTATTTACATAAACGAACTCAGTTGTATTCTCAACCGATCTAATAAAACCCGAATATTTGATCTAAATTACTGTTTTGTGCCTTGTGTGATATTCACATATCAACAATTGGCGCGTCAGATAGGGGGACTTAACAGAATATTCAGTCTTAGATCGGATTTCGGAGAGATCGAGTCAGCTATGACAGACCAAGCCAACGTCCATGAAGAAGAAAACCCTCTCGGCCAAGGGAACGGCAACATCCGAGCCCCCGCGGAACAGACAGAAGGAACCCCTGGGGAAACCGCTGGAGCAGAAGCCGGCCAAACTCCTGCAGCCGTAGGAGGTTTTGGAACTGAACTACTGCTCCAAGTGTTCAACGCTCAGTTCGAAGCTATCCACAAAAGGAGCGAAGAACGCTTCAGCCAGATGGAGGCACAGATCGCCGAGCTCAGTCAAGCACGGACTCCCCTTCGAGTTCGGAACATCATTGACGACCCAGCTGGAACTATGCGATCCACTGCTGTCGGATCAGCAAACGCTCCAGCACCACCAGATCTAAGTCGCGATGCCGAGTTTAAAGCAATGAAGGCACAACTTCGCGAGATCACTTCGAAAATTCACCAAGCAACGAGCGCAGCCCCGGAGATCGAGCGTTCAGGAAACACAAAAGACACCTTTTACACCGCGCATAGCAGGAACACCTGTCAAACACATGGAAAAACTCAAGATCAAGATCTATGAAGGCAATACCGATCCCCGGCATTTTTTGACATCGTTTGGAATCTGCATGAATCGATACCAGTTCAGGTCTGCCGAGGAGAGGGACGCGGTCTAGTTCCAGCTGTTTGTCGAGAGTCTAGGAGGAATAGCTCTCGACTGGTTCTCATGACTCGAGGCGAACTCGATAAATAACTACAAGGAGCTGACATCGGCCTTTGTTAAACATTTCTCAATGTTCATCGAACAGAACACCAAGAACTCTGAGCTATGGCAGATACCCCAAGGGGCAAGCGAGAGCCTCCGTGACTTCATCCAACGCTTTAAAACGATCGTCGCCAACTGCACGATCAGCGACGAAGCTGCTCTCTTATGTCTCTAGAAAGGAGCTCAAATAAAAACAAGCTTCCAGAGCGCGATCACGCACAACCCCCCCCCCCCCCCCCCCCCCCCCCGCAGACCTTAGAGGACGCATTACACCGAGCTAATACTTACATCGCTGAAGAAGAAGAGGAGGCAGCTTATGAGCAGAACTATTCGGAAAAGCAGCCCGAACATCCAAAAGCCGCCACTAATGAACCAAAATCGGGCTATAGCAAAGGGTACAAGAATCGCAAGAAGTTCTACGCTAATGCCATCCAGCAACCAACCAAACAGTGGAATAATAAGTGGGTCCGCAGCGAAAAAGATCAAGACGAGTCATTGTTCTGCGAATTCCATAACCGTAAAGGACATAGCACCGAAGACTGCAGACATTTACGGGAATACCTGCTCGTGCAGTATTGAAAAGGACAAATCTCGATCGACGATCTCCGTCGTTTGACAGCTCCCAGAAACAGGTCACCTCAACCAAATAACGTACCACCCGAGAACACCATCGCCAAAGATCCACCAGCTCCACCAGCTTTACCAGCTTTACCGCCGCCTCCACCAAATCAACCTGGGTTACCCGAGCAACCGAAACGCAACCGCGACGACCCCGCGCCAGAAAACCACACTTCCAAAGCAAGGAAACGCGTCAACATGATTATGGGAGCTATAGAAGCCTGCAGTTATTCGGTTTGGGCCATCAAGGAATACAGTAGACAGGCCGCCACCGCGCCTAAGCTTCCGCACGATCCGCCAAAGGGAACACCTTTGATATTCACCGAAGCCGACACAATCGGGCTGCACAAACCACACAATGACGCCCTCGTCGTCGAACTACTTCTGTACGATGTCGAAGTTAGTCACATTCTTATCGATACAGGCAGTTCGGTCAACATTATCTTCAAAGACGCGCTTGATCTGCTCGATATACCATCAGACAAAATTGAACCATTTATCGAGCCACTCACGGGGTTCGATGGCGAACGCTGCATAACGGTCGGCACAGTCAAAATCCCGATCTACCTCGCCGGAGTTGCAAAGATCATCCAGTTCCTCATCCTTGACAAACCAGCGATCTACAACGCTATTCTCAGCACACCGTGGCTACACGCGAAGAAGGCAGTGGCCTCTACGTACCATCAATGCCTGAAATTCCCGATTCCCGACGGTGTTTACACTCTCCGAGGGAACCAAGCCGTCGCCCGATCGTGTTACATAAACGAATGCAAGCTTCGTTCGGCAAACCAAGCCTGCGTCATCAGAGCCCAACGACCGAGCTCATTGTCCAGAAAACAAAACCCAAGCAAGAGTCGATTACTCAAGTCTGCATCGACGAACTAAGGCTAGAGCGCCAAGCCGAACTCGACCCAAGTATCCGCGATACACTCGTTCACTTCCTGAAACAACACTCATCCACCTTTGCATGGTCGGTAGACGATATGCCCGGGATCGACCCACAAATCGCTTGTCACAAGCTCAACATCGATCCGACATACAAGCCGATCAAGCAGAAACACCGAAAACTCGGACCAGAGAAGGCACAAGCCGTCAACGATGAAGTCGAGCGGTTACTCAAAGCAGGATCCATCACTGAGGTCAAGTACCCTGATTGGCTAGCAAATCCCGTGGTTCTAAAAAAGAAGAACGGAAAATGGAGGATTTGCGTCGACTTCACCGACCTCTATAAAGCATGTCCAAAAAACAGCTTTCTTTTGCCTCATATCGACCGCCTCGTGGAAGCGACTGCCGGGAACGAACTACTCTTGTTTATGGATGCATTCTCCAGGTACAACCAGATTCTTATGCATCCACAAGATCGGGATAAGACATCGTTCATCACGGATCGCGGCATATACTGCTACAAGGTTATGCCCTTTGGCTTGAAGAACGTTGGAGCAACGTACCAACGCCTGGTCAATCGAATGTTCGCAAGCCAGCTCGGGCGAACTATGGAAGTCTACATTGACGACATGCTCGTCAAGTCACTTGTCGCTACAGATAACGTCGGCCATCTTCGCACATGCTTCGATATTCTAGACCAATATGGCATGAAGCTCAGTCCCACTAAGTGCACGTTCGGTGTAACGTCTGGTGAGTTCCTCGGATACATAGTCACACAGCACGGCATTGAAGCTAATCCGAAGCAGATCGCAGCTATACTCGAGTTGCCGTCCCCGACAACCAAACGAGAAGTCCAACGACTAACCGGACGCATTGCGGCACTTAATGGATTCATATCCAGATCGACAGACAAGTGCTTGCCGTTCTACCAACTTCTCCGCGGTAATAAGCATCTGGAATGGAATAATAAGTGTGAGGAAGCTTTTTCCGAACTTAAGAAGTACTTATCTACGCCACCAGTTCTATCCAAGCCCGAAACCGGCGAGACGCTCTACCTCTACATCGCGATCTCGGAGTATGCGATCAGCAGTGTCCTCGTTCGGGAAGACTGTGGCGAACAAAAGCCAATTTTTTACACGTGTAAATCCCTCGACGGATTGGAGTATCGCTACCCAACGTTGGAGAAATTTGCCTTTGCCGTGGTTATCTCCGCATGAAAGTTACGCCCGTACTTTCAGTCACACTCGATCGTTGTCCTAACCGACCATCCTCTTCGTACCTTCCTTCACAGCCCAAGTCAATCTGGCCGTCTCGCCAAATGGGCCATTGAACTTAGCGAATACGATATCGAATACCGAGGAAGAACCGCAACGAAATCCGAAGTCTTGGCGGACTTTTTGGTCGAACTCCCACCCGACCTCGTCGATGCTAACCCGGCCGTACAACCCTGGATCCTCCATGCCGATGGCTCCTCTTCCCATAAAGGATCCGGCGTCGGAATTCGTCTAAAATCTCCCGAAGGTGAAATCATCGAGCAATCATTCCGCCTCGACTTCCTGGCATCTAACAACGAAGCCGAATATGAAGCGCTAATTTCCGGACTACAACTCGCCAAAGGAATCGGCGCCAAACACGTCCACGCCTACTGCGACTCTCAACTCGTAGCTAATCAGTTTCACGGCGAATACAAAACCAAGAATGATCGCATGGACGCATACTTCAAAGTCCTCAAAGATATTGCTTCAGAATTTTCGACCTTTGAGCTCACGAAAATACCGCGTGACGAGAACGCAACCGCTGACGGTTTAGCCGCCCTTGTGACTAACTCCGATCCTGATCTCTGGCGAACAATCCCAGTCGCGGCAATCGAACGACCTAGTATCGAGCCCGCTCCAAGCTGCAGCATTGTTACAAGACGACGCGACTACGACGCCCGGCCCAACCTCGCTCCACCCCTCACCCGAAAGACAAGGCCTAAGGAAATTGCCAGTGATCTCCATACCAATATGAACGAACAAGACGACAACGATTCCGATCATGAGGACGAATCCGAAGGCCAACACGTCCCAATCGATATCGAAGCTGAAGGCGAGGACGAGCCCGAAGATTGGACTTTAGAGATCGTGGGCTACATTGGCGATGGAACGGTTCCCGCAGACAAATGGGCAGCTCTGCGCCTTAAGGCTCGCGCAGCTCGATACGTAGTTATTAAAGGCACTCTCCTTAGATGGGACTCGTCCGGCGTACTTCTAACTTGTGTTCACGGTAACGACATCATGGAAGTTATGCAGAAAGTACATGAAGGAGAAGGATGGAATCATTCTGGAGCTCGGTCCTTGGCATTCAAGATCAAAAAAGCTGGCTATTACTGGCCTACTATGCTCTCCGACTGCGAGAAGTATACTGCACGATGCGAGAAGTGCCAACGTCACGGCCCAATGATCAACCTACCTACCAAACTACTGATGACCTCGACCGCACCATACCCTTTCATGCGTTGGGAAATGGACATCATCGGCCCATTTCGCCGATCTACAACCCAGAAGCAATACGTTCTGGTCGTAACCGAGTACTTCACCAAGTGGGTTGAAGCCGAGGCGTACCCCGAGATACACGGCATCGATGTCAAAAAGTTCGTCTGGAAATTCATCATTTGCCGACACGGCGTTCCGTATGAGATCGTCACAGATAACGGCACTCAGTTCACCTCAATAATTTTCACAGAATTTTGCGCCAAGTGGAAAATCCGCCTCAGTTTCTCTACACCGCGATACCCACAAGGAAACGGGCAAGCCGAAGCAACGAACAAAACCATTATTGATGGTCTGAAGAAGCGACTGGATACGGCTAAGGGAACTTGGGCGGACGAACTCGATGGCGTCTTATGGTCCCATCGAACTACACCACGACGTTCTACCGGTCAATCACCCTTCTTCCTCGCGTACAGTACGGAAGCTATGTAGCCGAACTCAACGTTCCTAGTATTCACCGAACCATGCTCACTCAGCAACCCGACGCGAATAATGACATGATGCTCGACACAATCGACTTAGTCAAAGAACATCGTGAACGAGCATTACTCCGGATAAAAAACTACCAACAACTAGCAGCTCGTTACTACGACAAGAAGGTTAAAGGCCGTCATTTCAAAGATGGCGATCTCGTACTTCGCAAAATTTATCAGAACACAGAAAAAAAGAACGCTGGAAAGCTCGGCGCGAATTGGGAAGGACCATACCAAGTGATGAAAGTTGTTAAACCCGGCGTTTATCAACTCATGAAGCTCGACGGAAACCCGATCCCGCGATCTTGGAATTCGATGCATCTCAAACGATACTACTACTAGATCGTGATTCAAAAAACCTTTTTGTACTTAGAACTACGAATGGCTTGATCCCTTTTAAAGGGTACGTAAGCAGCTCGTTACCGAGTCCAGCTATAACTTCAATAAACTTCAATAAAGTTTTATCACGAGATACCAAACTCCTACTTCTTTTTTAACATCAACTTCCTGGCTAGTTGTTCGATAGCATTCTGATATGCTCAAAGTTAAATCCCTAAGCTACTCTGCAAGAGCACAGATGTGCAGTTGTAGTATCTAGGGGTCGAACCACAGAGACAAGAAATCACTCAATAAACCTTATGTAGATAGAGTTACGCTAAGCCAAGATATGCGAAATAAATAGTGTTGCGACAAAAGTAAATAGAATAGCAATGAAGACAATTGTAAATTCGATGTGATAAAGGATAGGTCTAGGGTGATTTTCAGGAGATCAATGAATGCAAATCAACTTAACAAGTCAGGATTCAGTTATTAAGCACAGTTCTTGAACTCGAAACACAGAACTATAATTAACCAACTTCCGTTGTGAGAATTATCTAAGTTAAAATCCTAGAATCCCAAATTCCTTTGTAAATCCTACAAATTTAAACCAGCTTTAATGCACAAGTTCGATATGTTCACAAAGCTCCTAAACCAAATTCCTTTGCGAATAGTTACTTTGCTCAACTCAGGTTCTTTCCAGTTATTCAATTACACTTCCGTGTCAATTAAGCAACCTAAGATCTAAGTTCTAGGTGATCAGTCCAGAATTAGCTTTAAGAACAACCTAAGGTGAAGAACAAATAGATATGAACCCTAACTGGCAAGTTAATCAAACATTCAAAGAAAACCCTAATTAACCCTAAACCTAACAGATGATTTACTCAGACATGGTTATTGAAACAACAAACATGATGAATAGAAAGCAATAGAATAAATCGAAATAGATAAAGGGGTTCGAAATCTTCTCTCTAAACGAACAGAGTACAGACTTGTCTCCCAAAGCTCAGAAATCGCAAAAGCCGAAAACTCAGAGTATCTCTCTCTCTAAAATCTAAGGTGTCCGTAAAAAGGGAATAAAAATCCTATATATATCTCTAAGACACGTTTTGGGCTTCCTTGAAAACGTTTGGGCCCAACTCCTTCTTCAAATAGGAAACAAAATCGCCTTTTCCTTATTTCTCTGACAAGTGTCGCGCGTCACTCTCCATGGTGTCGAGCGTCACCAAAGCACAAAATCCATACTTGACGAATTTGATCCTGATTAAGCTCCAAAGTGCTCCAAAGTCTCCAGTTAAGCTCCAAACGTACCTATGACCTGAAAAGACTCCAAAAGACTCGAAAGACACTAAAAAGACTCTATAAATAAGACATATACCATGGTTAAAAACCATAAAAACCATGATATATCACATTCCACATGAATGCAAACTTAAAAAGCCGAGATCCGTCTCGCGAACACCCACATGGTGCCGTGGTAAAAACCACGTTAAAAAGCTGGGGCCAGTCCCACAATAAAAATTCTAAGTCACCAAGAACAATAAGGCGAGCCCATCTCGCATACTTAGGTTCGACTTAGAAAACCTTGAGCACGTCTCGTGCGCTTACAGGAGTTCGACCAAACTCACTCTTCCAGTACGATACGACTCACTTGGGTTTCCCAGGCCGAGCTCAAATGCTTGCACAACAAGCCGAATTCCTCAGATTCGCACTATAAGCCAAGTTCTCAACACTTGCACATATAAGCCGAATTAACGCACTACCGAAAGATAAAATTAAGTTCGAACAACACTCACTAAGTACCGATCTACTACTTAACAGATTTTTCGAGACAATTAAGAAAAAGATACTCCCACAAAAAGAACGAACAAGAATATCATAAAGCCTTCCGAAAGGCAAATAAGATTGAAATATAAAAACCCACAGAGGATTCAGTAATAAACAAAATATTACAAAAACATATAAAATAACCCATTAAAGGGCAATTGAGTTCGACTTAGAGAAAAAAGTAAAAAGAATAAACAGCCTCCGAGAGTTATCAGTATTTATCAAATCTGTTCCTATCGAGCCGAACTGCTCGCCTCTCGCCTGATCCTGCGCGCTTCGAGTCACGTTCTCGGCCGGAACATCATCACCATTTTCCGGAAGAGGAGACATCCGCTTATCTTCTTCCGTGAGGACGCAAGCATCAACCGAACAAAATTCTTGCAGCGCCTTAGCATGCTTCGTCTCGATCTCGGCCACCATCTCGGGCGGAACTTCATTCAAACCCTTCTTCTTGAGATGTTTGATGAAGCCGAGAACTCCGGTAAGCTGGTTGACCACCAGGTAAGGCTTACGAGCCCGATCAGCATCATCCAAACTGCGGATAACCTTTTCCAAGCGTTTGCAAACCTTCGCGTGAACGCTCCTTGCCCGATCCTTCCAATGAGCCACCAAGTTCTGCAGTCGCTCCTTATCTTTCTCAAATTCTCGAGAAAGTAAGCCTTGCGCCTCGGTAAATTCGGCTTTGACTGCCTTAAGCTCCGAACTCTCCTGCTTCAGCAGGTCAACAGCAGTGTGAAGCCCATCATTGATCTTGAGCTCGGTGGCGAGATGATCTTCAGCCTTGGAAATCCGTTCTTCCAGCTCGGCGACTCTCACTTGCTCGTCATACAGAGCAATCTCATATGCCGCGACCAAATTGTTGGTCTGGCTGGCGAGCTGCGAAAAAGAGAATTAAAATCAGAACTCATACTTAGGGGAAGAAGTAAAATAAAAAAAATGGAATCAGGAAATTACCACGGCAGTTGTACGTGCAATCCCTTTGTATAGGTTAGGAAACCGGAGCTCGGAGATCGCTGGGAGACTCGGAACCTCAGTAGAGATCTTGTGGTAGAGGTCGGCGCAAGCGTCGACGTTCTCCTCAAAAGGGGTTTCCTCGTCGTAGTCGAAGCAAACCTTAGCCCTCTTAGCCGGCTCTGGCTCCGGAGAATCTTCGGCGTGACCTATTTTTTGCCTCTTCCGAGAGTTGGAAGCTTCAGGCTGATCCTGAGGAATCGCGAGGTCCGACGCCACAGCCGTCGGTGGATCGAGCTCAGCAGTAGCGTCCTGCACCCGAGAAGAGTCTTCAATCCTCTTAATCTTCTTCGAGGACTTCTTCTTTTCTAGCTTCTTCTGACCAGCCTGGTCAGGCGAGTTCGCAGCTGGCGGCAGTTCTTCAGGTTGTTCATTAATCCCTTCGGCAACAAGGATGGGTTTCAGAGCTGCATCGTTCCGCTCTTCCTCATCGAACAGAGTGGGAATCTCGTCGAGTGAAAGCATTCTTGCAGTTCGGGCTCGTCTAGCTTGCGGTTTTGGCGCTTTCCATCTGGGAGAAGCTCGAGGTTTGTTAGCTCGACTCTTTGGCTTCAGGGGCTTCGGTTCCTTGACAGAAGCTGTAAAACGTACAAGGAAGAGTTTGGAAAAGCTCAAAATAACGATCTAAAAGTGAAACTATTAATCAAACCTGATTTCTTAGCTCGTCGCTTAAGAATTTCTTCTCAAACTTCGGGCTAACGACGTTTACCGGCTTCGCTAAAAGTTGTTTGGAATTCGGGAGTAAGTCCGGAATTGAGTAGAATACTCGGGAGATGACGACCTGCAAAGATAAATCAAAAAGGAGTTAGGAAAATATGAAAACAAAAATCAACAAAGTATAAGATCGTCTAAATCTACCGATCGGAATCTTCCACTTCGATTGAGTTGGGATGTCAGAATTGCTGACTGTGAGATCGTTCATCTCGAGAAAGAAGTATTGGGATTCCCAGTCGTTATATTTACTGGGTTTAATCCCAGTGACGATATCCTTCTTCGGCTTGGCATTCGCCGCGAAGAACCACTCTTTGGATTTATGAATGTTGACTGAGAAGAGATCTTCGAAGAGCCGAATAGCCGGAATTTCATCGAGATCAGTACATAAGGTGAAGAAGCCTACGTAGTTCGTTACCGACGCTGGCATCATCTGAGTGAGAGCTACGCCATGCCGATTGCAATATCCGAGAAGACGAGAGGGAATTGGGAGAGAGAGCCCGCATTGCGTGAAGTAAGTCAAGTAGATGCAGAGGAAGCCTTCGGGAACGTCTCATGGCCGATCTCCAGCTTCATGTATTATGAAGACGACTCTTTCTGAGAGCTCGTGGTTCTCGAGTACGGTCTGAACTGCCCTCGGAGAAAGAGAAAAATCTGGTACGTTGTGAGGACGAACGACTTTTCGTTTCGGAATTGGCGGCGAGGTGTGATTCACCGCTTCAACGTTGTCCTCGGCAACGTCTTCTTCGGCGTCGTTCCCTCCGAGATTCTCTTCTTCAGATTCTGCAACCTCCTCGATTTCGTGGTTGACGCAATCAACGTTCGGTGTAACTCGAGCTCTAGTTTCACGAGTCTCTGCTGTTAGTTGCTCGGGCGCCTCCATTCTTGGTTGAGGTCGGGTATTAGCACCGGCCGATCTAGAGTTCTTACGAACTAAAGCCGGTGGGTTACTCGCCGCTCGAGAGGAACTTGATGAAGAAGGATTTGATGAGGAGGAGCTCGGCTCCGAAGATTCACGACGATCCTCAGTCAGGATTTGATCGGAAAGATTGAAGATCGATCGGAAAGATTGAAGATCGATCGGAAAGATTAAAGATCGATCGGAAAGATTGAAGATGGATCGGAAAACTTGAAGATTGATCGGAAACTTCAAAGGTTACGGCGGAGGAAGTAGAAGAAACTAGAGAGAACTGCGAATAAAATCCTAGAGAGAGAAACAAAATCTAGAGAGAAGGGAGAGCAGCGTACCTTATATATGCTTGAGCGAGAATAATGAATGCGAGGAGGATTTATTCCTTTATAAACAGTGGGAATCGTGGTTCCTTGATTTTCGCAAAATCCCGGAATTCACGCGCCTCATTGAAGACAGCTTGCGACACATCCGAGAAAATGAATCGATCGAAGTTACCGAGCTTGGTTTGTAACCTACTTTTAGATTTGGCTCGAATGAGTTCGACTAAAAGTCGTACCCTTTCATCGAACTGAGGGGGGGGGCTAACTGTTGGAGGTGAAAACCGCACCCCCGGTTTTCTCCTGTACAAACCGAGATCGGCACAACATAAGCCCAGTTTACGAAGGGAATGTACCGAGAATATTGGCCTGAGTGAGTTCTTGGGCCGAATATAGCCCAACGAGCCGAAGTCGGTCAGAAACTTCTCAAAGGAACCGAGAAGTTCTCTGAGTTTGGAGGAAAATGGAAAGTTTCCGAGTAGAAAAAGGAAACTTACGAGAAGAAAGGAAATTGCCATGAGAAAGAAAAAAGACCGAGAGAAAATGAAAGTCTTCTCGGTCCCATATCGCAGAGAAGACCCGCGAAGACCGACTTAGAAGACATATATAAAGGAAGAGGAATCGACACCAGAAGATACAAGAAATTCCCGAGAGACTTGGAGATTGAGAGCTCAAGACATTCATTAGCTTCTTAATTTCCTAAGTCTTAGTTCGTTTATTATTTACATAAACGAACTCAGTTGTATTCTCAACCGATCTAATAAAACCCGAATATTCGATCTAAATTACTGTTTGTCCTTTGTGTGATATTCACATATCAACAATAAAAAAAGAATATTGCAACATATCACACACAAATGTTTACTTATATTCCTTATATTCCTCTCTGTTGTCACCACTAAGAATTATACTTCTCTCCATTCTCTCAAACATATGTTGCCAGCTTATCCATCTAGAACTCTTTAAAACCTGCAAAGTTGAGATCTACTCCTCTGCAATTATCATTGTCAAATTATATATCTCTTTCACTAAAATGAATCCATTCATTTTTCATGTTGTATCTTAAGATATATCTGAGCCAAATATAGTTTTATGATAGATAAATAAAATTATTTGGTTTTGTCATATTAATATATAAATAAATGGACTTTTCATATTTTCCCAATATTTAACCCATTAATTTAATGATACTGATATTGCTGATATTGCTGATGTGGCAGAAGGATGGAGAGAGCTCACCTCTTTTCATATATATGATTTTTAAAAAAACTTATTTCTTCAATGTTTGGAAACTTTTAATTTTATTACTTTTTTATTTTTTAATTGCTTTGCGAATAAATTATCTTTGTTATTTTAAAAATAATGAGTATAACACACAGTGAAAAAATACCAAATTAAAATCTAATATTAGTTTTTTTATTTATACATATAAGATATTTAAATTAAATTTGAGTTTAATTTATTTTTTTATAATTTAATATTTTAAAATAATAAAAATCAGATTAAATGGTTGATTTATTTATATTATGTATTAATAAGAGGAATAAATGTTAATTTCTTATTGGCTCTCAAATACTGAGTTGCCAATTCCTGGAAAGTGCCTTTCATCTTTTATATATTAGATAATATAGTGTATATGCGTGGACATTGTTACGTAAATAACAAAGATAATTAAAATGTATCATCATAGCAAAATTTACAAATAACAAAAATTTAAAACATTCAAGTAGCATTCAAATAGCACAAAATTTAAAAAGTTTACATAACAAAAGGGAAAATAGTAATAGAGAAGTTAATTTATCTTCATGTCCATCTGCTATCCATTTTCATATCCTTCTCTTACAATCTAAAAGAGAAAATTATCATGCAATATGAGTTTCAATCAAATGTAAAGTAGTTAAACCAAAAGTAATTTTCAAACATAATTGAAACGAAAAAAATGCATGCATGTCCAAAAATTTCTAAACTGCCAAACTTCACACTCAATATGATCATGTCTTGAATTAAATATGGATCCTAAAAACTGTCATGGGTATTAATGATGATCAGTTTGAAACTCTAATATATAAAAGTTAATTTTTAAAAAGTTAATTTTAAAAGTAAATAAATATTATCAAAAAAAAAAATACTTAACAAACGGATATCGGATGACGGATACCCGTTTTTCAATTTTATGTTATCCAAATCTGTATCCGAAATAACTGAATACTTAATTTTACTATCCGGATCTATATCTGAACAACACAGATATTTGTTTTTACGGATCGGATCGGAGCGGATACCGGATCGGAGACTAGATATTGGATAATAATTCTAGGCCTAATCTTAGCTAACATATTGTTCTTTATTAACTTAAGATCTATGTATTTTTTAAAAAAAAAAATTAAAAAAACTATGTTCATTAATGTATTTTTAAGTAGATTGTACTCATATTTACCTGTTTTTTTCTTCTTATTTTGGTTATTAATTTAAGTAATTATTTGGTTTTTTATGTATTGTTTTTTTTCTGTTTAGTCTAAGTTTTAAAATTTATTTTCATTCATATATTTTTAAGTAGATTGTTCTCGTTTTTACTTGTGTTTTTTTCCTTCATTTGGTTGTCAATTTATGCAGCTAGTTGATTATATAAAGGAAAGTTCTTTTTGTTAAAGATAAAGGAAAGTTCTTATTATTTTATATTTTTGGGAAGTGAATTTTTTTAGTTGATCTGTATTATCTATATACTTATTTGTGTAGTGATTTGCTGATGTGTCGTGCTCACAGCGAATTTTGCAATATTTCACTTACGTTTCAGCTTCAGAATGAGTTTCGGCTGCAAAAAGACCGTTTACCCCTATTTTGCAATTACGTGTCATTTTTAATTAGTTTTTATGTGATGATGTGTTAAAAATAACTCAAAACAAACCTCTCTAAATTATTTTGGTTTAATGCTTAATTTCGCTGTCAAATTAAACCGTTTCTAAAATTTTATAAAACCGAAATTTAATAAGAATCTAAAAAAAATAAAAATTAATAAATAGTTTAATGGAATGATGGTATTTGTGATGTCTAGATTAGTTTTCAACTTCAAATATTTTAGTATATATATGTACGACTTCTTTCTAATTTTCTCACACGTCACACCCTTCTAAATTGTTTAACGTCTTTTTTTTTCCGAATAAGTTTGTATAGTAGTTAAAAAATACAATGTTTAAAATACATAGAGCAGTGATCAAAATCGAATAAGTTCGTACGATACTTCAAAAAACTACGTCTAAAATACATAGAACAGTGATCAAAAGATCTCAAAACTATTTAAATTAAATTATTTAAATATTAATATATTTTTATCTATTTTCTTTTACACTGTTTTTACGGTCATGTCTTCAAACATTAAAATATAAAAAAACTAACAAATAAATATATTCAATAATAGAGAATAAATAACAAATGATTTCAAACTACTATTAAATTTTTAAACAACCAAATAAAAAAAATTATATCTGCCATAAAATGCGTAGATAAATTCACTAGTTAGTTCTGTTATTCTCTAGTACAGATGTATTAATTTAATGTAACTTACACGGCTTACTTCTAACTTACTGGTAAGGTGAAAAACTATTACTATTAAAACTTGAATGGATCCCTTTAACTTTAAATTTGAACAAAATGTTCTCTTTGAGAATGTAAATCAAAGTTTGTAATTTCTTATGAGGCATTGTATCCTAAATCTAAAGTAATATATTTAGTAATAATAAATCAATTTTTATAATAGATCTTTAGAAGTTTTGTTTTTTATTTAAAAAAATTAATGCTGATGTGGAGACTGAGGTGGGCATCACGAAGAGAGCAAAGCTAACTTTATATGTATAGATATTGAATAATTATTTAAACATTGAATTGACAAGGTTATATAAATGACAGTGAAGTCAACAAAACATCACTTTATATTAAAAAAAAAAAAATTACGTGTACGTGAAACGGAATGAATTTATCATTCCGGCTATTTATTAATTTCACTTAACAATTGTTTCAAATCATTAGGGCTTATTATTATACCCATGCAATTTTATATTTTGGAGAAAAACATAATTCCAAAAAGCTACCTACAAAGGCAAAAATAAGAAACATGCATATAGTCACATTGTATAGCCCACATGTGTATGCAAATATAGTAGGTAAGCAGAAACCCTAGAATAATAATTTTCAAAGTCGTTTCAAATATGGTATTTGTGGCTCTAAGCCGTGGCAGCGAGCTTGGCGAGAACACCAACGGCGATAGAGTTGATGTAAGTGCAAGGCTCAGTGTAAACGGAGGTCCATCGAAAATCTTGGAAGTTGTCTTGACGGTCGGGTCCTCCCAAGATTGCTCCGGTCAGCTCGTTAGCGTTGGGCTGATTCTTGTTGTACCATTTCACGAAGCTCAGTGGGCAGCTTAGCGGCGCGTTGGCTTCAGCCATCGGCACTGAGGCTCCTCTGTGGTGAGCTTGCTTTGGCGGGTTTTGTCCAAACCCAACCATGTACGATCTTCCTCTGGGGTTATGCCCTAGTATGTAATCAATCTGAAACGTGCATAGAACAAAGAATTTCAGGCTGTTTTATATCGTTGCGTGAAAACTACACGTCGTTCCATGCATCGAACATCTTGAATTAACTCCCAAATATTTTTTTTTCTAGTTTTTGCTAGATTCAAACAAAGGTATGATCTTTCGTATATATATATATATATATATATAACACTATTGTATTCTTTTGGGAAATCAAAAGAAGAGTTGATAAAAGACTTTTACTTGTTTTTTAGCGAAAGCCATGAGGTGTGTTGAATCGAATTGTTTGCTTCCGCAAGAGATCTTCTGGTTGTGTTGCTGGAGAATATCTGCGTAGGCCGAGAACAAGAAAGCTGTCGCGGTGACATATTGAGTGTTGGCTCCATCCCTCAAGTGAATCATACCACCTAATTATTTACAATTAAGAAGATTACGTTGTGAAAAAAAAAAATATACGTTGTGATTAAAATTAAATATGTTTTTAAACTTGTATGTTAATATATGGAGGCAGGACCTGGGGTAGTGAAGACTTGGTGGTATGGACTCTCAGGGAGATTCGAGCAGATGAAACTATCGGCTTGTTGTTTGTATAGATCTAGTCCTTTAATGCCTTCGAAGATCATCTGCATATACATAATATAGGTCAAATCCTTTAATAGTTTCGACCAAAGATAAGCTCTAACTTTGGATATATGTTACTTTACATATATCTACCTTGACAATGAGCATCTGCGCACCGGCGTACTTGAGGTCCCAGCTAAACTCAGCGACGTAACCACTTATGGCTTCGAATTTGAGGTAGCTAAGGTACACATGATTCCTCGTTGCCTTGTATAGCCATGTTGCCGCCCATAGCAACTCGTCCTTCACATTTGTATCAAAATTGATATCAATTTCAATGTGAACAAAAACATTTTTTTTTTAAAAAAAAAGAGAGAGAAATGATATTTGGAAGAGAAAATGCTTAGAAGTTAGAGATGAGATTTTTACGTTGTAACCGGAGCAAGAACAATAGAAGGGGCATTCTCCATCGTATGTACCCTTGTGGCTCTTGGCAAGCTTGAAAAGCTGTACATAATGAAAAATTGATTCAATATTGAATTTTATTTATTAATAGTATTAAATATGTATATTTTAATTTGGATACCAATTTGGCTTTGTTGAGGAGCCGGCGGGAGTATTTGTGGTCGACGTGGCGGAAAACGATGGAGGAAGCAGCCAATGCAGCAGCGGTTTCGGCTGCAATTTCGGTGCCAGGATCTTTATCATTTATCTGCAAAACCGTCCTTGGTGTTTGCATGTTCTCAGGCCTCGCCCAACACTGGTGATCCGCATGTGGATCACCGACCTATTTGATCAAATTGATAGGCACAACCATTTCAATTAGGAAATGAGCACATTCATATCTTTCTTTCCATTCCAAACGTAAAAGAAGATAACAAAAGCAAGGTTTTGGATCTCTTTGAATCATATTTACAGAGGAAAAACTTCGCTTAAAAATGTGTCTAAATATTTTCTTAAATAAATATTTGGTTCAGACCTGAACATAGAGGCGGTTCTTGCGAGAAGCACATTTGAGGAAATAATCCGTGCCCCAACGGATAGCAGCACGAGCGTTTTCGAGCTCTCCAGTGGCACGGAGTTCTTTCTCATAGGCAATGGTCGACCAAGCTAGTGTTGTGATCGTGAACGCCATTGGAAGACCATACTTCACATTGTCTCCTGCGTCATAGTACCCTCCAGCCAAATCAACCTATTCATATAGAATCATAGTATTAGATATTGTTAACTTGTTTCTATTGGATATGAATTTAAAAGTTATAGCACAAAATTTACATTCGCTAGTTTGCCATCATCAAGAGCAGAATCACCTCTCCAGGGAACCCTATTGTTAGAAGGGAGTTTGCCTGATCTTTGAGCCTCCAAGAAGATTAGGGATTTGGTTAGGGCTTCTTTGTAATTTATGTTAGTACCATTCACACACACAATGCTTATGAGACCCAACAATATGGCCTTAATCACAACATTTCCTCTTACTTGATCCCCGTGATTACCCATAGTCTCAAAAGTTGATTTTGTGATAATAATGCCAACTCTATATATAAGAAATGATAACAGAAAGAAAAGGAAACTGAACCTTTTTTTATGAGTTTTTTTTTTGGTTCAACAAAAAACGAAAAACAATTGCATGCTTTTCGTTTTTTCTTGTTTTTGTTTAGTTTATTGTTTTATTGTTTTTCTTTTTTGGTCTCCTTCTTCTGCCTCAGGATTTATATTGGTTTAAGATCGCGGGTATGATTAAGGGGAACTTATAATAGAAATTTTCTTGGAAAGTTAAGTATAGGTTTACTAATCTTGATTTAGATATTCACATCCATTGGTCGCTAGTTTTTGTCTTTTTTTGTTTTCATTTTCTTTTCTAATTTTTATAATCCTAAAAAAAGATTTTTTGATTGTTCGTTTTTTCGATTTATTTAGATCGTACATTGTGCTTCTACGGACGGTACAGTCTTTCGTTAATAATTAAAGAAAAAAAGGGGACGTGAAGAAAGCTGAGATGGTACTACACGGTGGCTGTAGTTCAACCCAAATCATTGAATCTTGTCTGTAATAAAGAAACTAAGATATATTTTGAAAGAAGTTTTTATTGTATTGGCCGGAAAAAAACTGTATGTCGTTGTTTCTTGAGGTTTTTTGTTAAAAATAACCTAAAACTTGATTCTGAATACAAAACTAGACCCTCGAAAAATATTTGGCAAAAATAACTTAAATGGTAGTGAAAAGACCATTTAATCATGTATAATCAAACAAAAAACGGATGTTCTAATTATCGTTTAAACCCTGACGAGATCTACTAAAGAGTGAAAGAAGTCTACTAGTAGACTTTGTTCAAACGAAATGAAGTCTACTAAATAACTAAATCAGAAAATTTAAGTTTAAAATTTAGAAAAAAATTATTTTGGTATCAAAATTATATTCATAAATTTCATAATTGTAACCCAAATGTACATAATTTTTTTTATTTATATTGATAAATAGAAATTTATGTTTTTAAATTAGGAAGAAGAAAATCTATTATTTAGGTTTTAAAATTAGTAGACTTCTACATTGAAGTCTGCTAAAACGAATAAATTAACCTAACCGAAATTTAAACCAAAATTGAACCAGAAATAACTTCCTCTAACCAAGAAAAACTGTCCATAACCGGGTAAATTTGTTAGTTTATAATTGAGTTTGGTCTAAATATCATTTGATAATTGAGTTTAGTATGTTAAGTCAAATGATGTGTGTGAAAAGGTATGTGTGAAAGGGTGTGTTTTAGAGTTGTGTATGTTAGGTAAGAGCAGTTATTTTATTAAGAGTTACAAGTATGAAGAGACACAACTCATTGTGTTATCTGTTTGTTTTGTATATAAACCAATTTTGTCTTGTTGTAATTAACAAGTTTCAGATTCAATAAAAGTTTCTATTTCATTTATGTTCTTTTTTAGAAGAGAAGAGATAATCTTATCTCTTACTCTGTTTCTTCTTTCTTACTCTGTTTTGGGAATCTATATTCCAACATGGTATCAGAGCATATGTCGGTCTTGGAGCCTGTTCAAGCACAATAAAAATATGAAGAAATTCGCTGCTAGAAGAAGAGAAAGATGGAGACAAAAAAACCAAAAAAAAATAGAGATGGTGACAAGAGAAAGCACCATCTATCTGCACAAGCACATTCACATGCCGTAACTTCAAGAGGAAGGCTCCAAAAGGATGAAGGAGATATGAAATCTTCTCAAAAGTAAATGGAGACAATGGATGTGAACATGGAGTTTGGAAGGAGAATTCTGAAACTTTGTTCGAAGAAACACAAAACATAAAAAGACATGGAGAGTATTCACGCAGGAGACGTCAAGAAGACGTTATGGTGATCAAAGTAAGACACCACGCAAGGAGGATGCTTACCTCATAAAAAAAAAATGGAGCAGACGTCAAGGTGACATGATGGTGATCAAAGGAAGACACCAAACAAGGAAGGAGGATGCTTACCTCATAAAAAATGGAGCAGACGTCAAGGTGCACTAACTATATGACCAAGGATGTTAAATACTTCATCACTCTTGATCAAAACATAAAGTTTCTGATCAAAGTTTACTCTTGATCAAAGCATAAAGGTTCTGATCAAAGTGGGGAATTGTCAACGTGTAATGACGACAGAAAAAGGAAATATCCAAGTGATGACAAGCCAAGGAAAGATCATCAAAGAGGTGTTTCTAGTGCCGGGTTAAGCACGAAATCTATTGAGTGTATCTCAAATGATATCAAAAGGATACAATAGATGTTTCATAACCGATCCTCAAGGGAGAAGGATTCTGAACATTAAGATGAAGCATAAGAGTTTTCCACTCATATGGAGTAACTTAGACGCAACTGTCCTACTTTCGAGTGAAGAAGAAGCCGCAGTTCACAGGGAAAGATGGAGCAAACGGTTGATGAGATTGACTTGAATGTTGATCCATTGGAGAACTAAGGAGGAAGCTTGGAGTAAGACCAAAACTCAATTAAGGAGGAGTGTTAGTTTATAATTGAGTTTGGTCTAAATATCATTTGATAATTGAGTTTAGTATGTTAAGTCAAATGGTGTGTGTGAAAAAGTGTGTGAAAAGGTGTGTGTGAAAGGGTGTGTTTTAGAGTTGTGTATGTTAAGTAAGAGCAGTTATTTTATTAAGAGTTACAAGTATGAAGAGACACAACTCATTGTGTTATCTGTTTGTTTTGTATATAAACCAATTTTGTCTTGTTGTAATTAACAAGTTTCAGATTCAATAAAAGTTTCTATTTCATTTATGTTCTTCTTTAGAAGAGAAGAGATAATCTTATCTCTAACTCTGTTTCTTCTTTCTTACTCTGTTTTGGGAATCTATATTCCAACAAAATTTACCTAGTCCAAGAAAAATTATTAACCTAACCGGAACCGAACGGAATTACCAGACTATATAAAGGAATTTTACGGATCCCGTAAAAAAAAACCGTCGAAAGTTCTTGTTAAAAAAAAAAAAAGACAAAGGCGATTTCTGTTTCTCTTCTCCGGCACCGCCGACTTACTTCTCACCGCCGCCGATAACCCTGTTCAGGCTAGTTTTCTTCCTCTAACATCACCCCCATGCTTCCCTACTCCTCCGTGTTCATCACCATTCCATTTTCGTAACCACCACTGTCCAGATCTGAAATTAGGGTTTTTTTTTTTTGCCAGAGATGCTTTCACTGCTGGGGGTTAACATCATTTCCTGCTTCAGAACGGCTAGTAGATGTCCTTCCGAAGCTATATACGTAGTTATTCCTCTATTTCTCCTATCTTCCTGTAATTTTGTCCGTCGCATTTGAGTACATAGGTTTTTTTTTTGCAGATCTGGTTGCATTTTCTCGACGCCGGCTTTATCTAATCATGGCTGTAAACACTATTTACTTTGTAGATTCCATTTGGATTGATTGCTTTTAGTAGACTTCATATACTATATTTTTGATGTATTGATTGCTTCGGTTGGCTTCAGTAGACTTCATATACTGTATTTCTTATGTATTGATTGCTTCGGTTGGCTTCAGTAGACTTTCTCGAATCGGAGTGTACTTAGAATGTGAAAAGTAGACTTCATTTTATAAAAGTAGACTTCATTTTCAAAGTAGACTTCATTTTTCAAAGTAGACTTCTTTTTGAAAAAGTGGACTTCATTTTGTAAAAGTAGACTTCGTTTGGCAAATAGTAGACTTCGTTTGGCAAATAGTAGACTTCGTTTGGCAAATAGTAGACTTCATTCGTGTATAGTTTCAAACCGTTAATTATAACTAGTTTTCTGATTAAAGCTTTGTTACCGTTAATGCAGAATACTGTGTTAGATAATGGTGACCTCTGAATTCCCTAGAAGATTGTACACCAAAGGCGGTAAGCCAGTCCCGGATAAAAGCATCGGCTATTATGCTGATGATTATAGGCTGGTACATGCACTTCGGAAAGCTCTACGAGAGGGTGAATGAGAAGAGATTTACGAGTCACCGTTGGATGTCTTCTTAAAGTTTCACGACTTGGATTTTGGTTGGGCTTCTAGGCTAGTGCACCACATTTTGACCTTTCAGATAGTTTGCAAGCAGATGTACGAGATATGGAGCCTGATTGGTACCACTCCAGTTTGGTTTTCATTGCATGAGTTTGAGGAGATCCCCGGACTCAAATGCAGGTATGTGGATGACTTGGCTCTAGCTGATCTTGAGCTTTCCGATGAAATGCGGGTATTCTGGAAGCATATGGGGGTCGATGTCGACTTGAGGCCAAGTACACTCGAAATAATTGAAGCCTGTTCCAACTGCTCATCATGGTCTCGGGAGGATAGACTGCGTTTGGGATATCTTGGGATCTATGCTGGTTTCATAGTGGCAACGAAACCAACCTCATCCACAAATGCTAACCATGCCATACTAGTGTTAGATATCGAAGGTTTTAAGGAGTTCCCATGAGGAAGAATTGCTTTTCAGCATCTGATCAAGTCTATCAAGGAGAAAGATCTCAGCAAAAATATTCATATAGAAGGATTTGTGCAAGCTCTTCAGGTATGGTTGTACTATGCTCTTCCGGATTTCGCTGCTGAATTTGGCAAACCATTGCCAAATGATCCTACACCTCTTCTGCTGGCTTACAAAGGATCAAGAGGACGAAAGAACGTCAAAGCCAACATACTCAAACATGTATTATTCATTCTCATTTAAAAGTCTTGTTCCGTAGTAGACTTCTATATAGTAATTCATTTATGAAGTAGACTTCAATGGTAGATTTCATACGTAGACTTTTATTTAGTAATTCATTAATGGAGTAGACTTCAGTGGTAAACTTTATACGTAGACTTCTATATAGTAATTCATTTATGAAGTAAACTTCAGTGGTAGACTTCATACGTAGACTTCTATATAGTAATTCATTTATGAAGTAGACTTCAATATTCGAATTGTGTTTTTTCAGGCTGGCATACAGTGATGCGTGGCTAAGGACTTGGCGGGTATGTTTCCAGTTTGGGATGATGAGCAAGAGGATCCGGATGTTGTCAAGATTGTCAATGCAATCCATGACCCCCAATTCAAGTTATCAAAAAACCACTGGTCTCTGGAAGGTGTTCTAGGTTCACACATCGTCATGGCAGAAGTAGGAAAAAAAAGCCTTCCCTCAGATGAATCAAGTCGCAAGAAAACCTGCACAGCCT